CAAGACATTGAATGAGAACAGTCTGACGGAGGTGAGATGTCACAGCGGGGAGAACACTTAACACACAATATTCTAAATCTGAACGTAAACCCGTAGTGCATTCACGGCACGGACAGCAGTGTTGGAACAAGTCCAGAAGCAATAACGCACATGACCCGCGTAATGCCAGCCATACGCAGGTGTCTGTGTGCGCGCTGTTGCTCCATTCTGCCTTTTCATTCATCATCAATTACATTCTTATATTTATACATAGAAGAAGGCAATAAAGCAGAATACAATATCGCAATAAAATAGAACAATTAGATGAACTATCAAGGCAGAGTGCAGATGGAGCGCTGTGAGGCCTCTCGTCACCCGCGGACACTGCAGGAGGAGAGCGACTGTGGGTCAGAAGCGGCCCTCATCATATCAATAAGGATCTCATTCTTATTTCATCCAGATAACACTGTGTGTTATTCTGCACAGCGCGCACTGCAAGGCAATGATTATAATTTTCTTCTGATCATAAAGAGCACTGCTTGTCTCAAATAAATACAAATATATATATATAACGTGTCCCGTGTAAAATTGAAGATTGTACATTGACGATGGTAGCCTAGCTGATGATCTTGTGTCAATACGAATACTATTATTATTATCGAGATAATATTTCCCACAGTGATTTCGGCCTCTAAAGAGAAAACAGTCTGGAGATGACGTAAGAAGTAGACGCATATATAGCAGCGCGAAGACGTTATGGTCCCGTGCTTTTCTAAACTATCATTTATATTGTTTGAATTGACATATTGTTACTGAGTCAAATTTAACATATAGTGACCGACCTTTTACGTGTTTGCAAAGTTACAAAATAAATCTAGCCAGAAAAGTCTTCGTAATTTTTTTTTATTTCGGCTGGAATTACAATTACTTAGCATATTTAGACAAATAATTTACACAGTTTCATTATGATCACGATTTCCTTGCAACAACAAATTCTGGTTTAGTGAACAATCAATTTGGCAAAAGGCTGTATCAGCGCAAAATACATAGCGGTCAACTGACCGCAGGGGGCGGTGCAAGGTATGTTTAGAGCACGGCGGTCCTAGTGTTAACACAACAACAGCATACATCAGTGGGAGTTGTGAAGTCTTGGGGTGGGCTCGAACCTGCAACCTTCAGTTCCAAAGGCCAATGCTCTACCAACTGAGCCACTGTCGCCCCCGTCATTGTAAATACTAAAGTTAAAAAAACAATGCATTATACAAAGTACATGTTGGTGAGTTTGAATTTGTTGAATCTTTGGCTTGTATTTTTAGATCGTTTTTTTTTATTTATGTTCTCCATTATATACTAGAATTTGAGAGCTAAAACATCATATTGTATCACTTTTTATTTTAGATCTTTTTAGAAACAACTGCTGACCCTTGGGTTTAAAAATGCTGACTTGTGTCTTCTCCTTGTGATCTGCAGGATAATGAACTGCTGAATCTTCTGTAAAGTAAATTCATCTCAGTGTGTGTGTGTGTCGGGGTTCGATGAAAACAGTGATTGTGAGAGAAATGACCCACTTGATGTGAGAAGACGGCTTACTGTTTTGTATTCGATCAATGAATAGAAAATATAAATACATATAAAATGCCATTTATAACTTTAATATATAAGGAATATGTGAGAAACAAATCAAACTAAAGAAATTAAATTATAAGTGGCCGACAGTGGCTCAGTTGGTAGAGCATTGGTTCGAGCCCACCACAAGACCTTCTCCATTGACTCCTCCCACTGATGTCTCCTGTCGTTGTGTCCTTGGGCAAGACACTTAACCCCACATTGCCCCCACTGAAAGATCAAGGCTATGCTGACACTGACAGAGCAGCCATCCTCCAATGCACTCCCCACCTGCAGGAGGATCAGTGAGGGGCTGGTGCTCTGTGAACTGCGTGCAACTCTAGAAGAAGATGGATGGATGAATTAAATATAATACATAAATATTTAATGTAAGTCACTTGCATGGTTGATCTCCTCTCATTGCTCCAACCCTAACCTATCGTGATTGATTGTTATTGAGTTTTTAAACACACTTAACTGATTAAAAGTCATCCTAAAACATTTACCCGTACTTTCTGGACTAAAAAGTCTACCTGTCTATAAGCAGTACCACCTATATTTTAAAAGAAAGTATATTTTGTCCACATATAGGCACTCGCTTATAAGTCGGGGTTGTTTATGTTGTATTGTAACAGATTTACAACTGTTTTAACTAGTCACAACATGATTTAATGATTTAATAATATTTCACCAATCTAGTTTGACAATACACAAGTGTCCTATGGCTAAAACTTTATGGAGTCACAATAATAAGTCCATAAACTCTGCTCTGACAACTCTACCACAATGAAAAATACACATTTTAGCCACATTGCATCGGATTCAATAAACTAGGAAAAAGTAGTGGCTTAAAGTCTGAAAATTACTGTTTATATTTTTATTTCTCTTCAATGTCTTCTCCCCTATGTAAAACAAATTGTGGCTGGCTTGATGGCTGCAACAAAGGATGGGAACCTCCTCGCTAACTGTCTCAATTTCAGTGGGTTAGAAAATTCAAAATGCTGAGGAGAGAACAGTGGCTGGCCTATACAGGTGGCATTTGTGTCTGTATGCTATGGCTTTGGATGGGCTGTGTGTGTGTTTGTGTGTGTGTGTGTGTGTGTGTGTGCTTATTTAGTTTATTTAAATTTGTGCTGAATAATTAACAAAGTATGTCCTACACTTTTTTGATAAAGCAATGTCTAATACAAACCTGCTGTTACAACATTCCAATGCATTTGTAGTTGTGTTGCTAAAGCACCCTTCAGAACAACAGAACACAGAAAGGCCTTTTGCAAAGTCCGTGAATTGAACCTGAGATCAACTGTCTGTGACAATAGAAGTAAATCAGGCTTCACACACTTTACTTTGGCACATTTTGTGTCAGTGCTGTTGAGGAGGCTGCACAGTAACAGATGCTGCAGCCTGAGAGTGGAGCCAGCACTCTGCTCCCCAGTCCTGATTCACTGTATCACTACTGTTAGAATATATTTGCTAATCACACAATACAGGGACCAAGCTATAGTTACACATATCGATATGTATGAGTCAGCTACTGTTGCACTTAAGGCCCGAAGACACTTCTTCTTTAAACCGTTCTGCTGAACACTACTCATAATAAACATGTGTGCTTACTAAATGTGTGTGTGTTTGTGTGTGTGTGTGTGTCTTTGACTTAAAAAAGTGTGTTTTCTTAGTTTGTATTGCTCTTGCAGTCAGTAAATGTTAGTGGTGTCATTACAGTAAAAGCCAAATGAAAAACTTGAGTTTCAAGAATCATTAAATATATTTTCAAAATATTGCATCATGTGTACTGTAAATGACAAATGTCTGTGTGAATGTTTTTCACAGGAGACAAGAGTTTTGAGAGTTGTGGATATCCCAGGAATTGAGTTTGACAACAAGGTTCTTTTTAATAATGAAGTTTGGTGCCGTTGTGCATCACACTTTGTGTCTCATTCATTGAGAAAAACTTTATTTCCTTTATGTTTTCCTTTATATTATATTGATATTATAAGGATAGCTAAGGATTTGACATTCTCGTCTGGTTAGTCTTTCCTTTTAGTTTGCCTGTATAGGTACATCCATAGATGCATTTACGCAATACATGAAATGTTTGCATGTGATAGAATAAGCCTTTTTAATTGGCTGAACATTATAAACATAAGTTGATACATTAAATAGTGTATTTTTTAAGAAAGCACATTTCTTCTGTCCAAATGAATCCGTATACAAACTTTATTAACTTATCTTCACTTCTCTGGAAAGTCTTTGAAGATGTAGTCAGTAAAATCTACCAGTGACCTGCTATGCTCTGTGTGATCCTGAGTGAGGCTTGCACCTTTTGTGTGCAGCTCAGTCACTGTGTGTAGAGTGAATGAAGAAAATGTCCACAATTGTAAAGTGCTTCATGACTCTCTGTCTGAACAAAATACAAATAAAAATGACTTACTTGTTTTGTATTTATTACTTTCAATTTTGAACAAACCATCCATCTCTTTTCTTCTTATTTCAGGACTGGGTCACTGTGGCAGGAGCAGCAGAAGTTCCCAGTTTCCAGGTGAATTTCCGAGGTGTTTCCAAGGAACCGGCAGCGTTCTAGGTCTCCCCTCCCAGAGGACCATGAACGGGAATAATTTTGAACAGATGATTTGCTCCAAGCTTCTCACTCTATCTCTGTCTTCCGAACTCCTGCTTCATTATTCCCTCAATCATGAACCTCTGGATAACTTGGAAACCACCAAATATTTCTGTTGTAACCCCCTCAATTTCTCGACCAGACCACTGTGGCAAAAGCAGATTTTCTCTTAGCACTCAAACATTGTGAAATAGTGTTAAGTTCCGCCTCATGTGTTGATGTATAGATTTTGACTCAGAAATGTTAAAAGCAGTGTATAAAACCCATCAACTTGCAAAAACGTTTCCAGAAAACTCAATAAATGTTATAACATGATCTTTTAATATCAATTTATCTACAAAATCTTTACTGACACCACAGTATTCAGTTAATCATGGAAAGTGCACTGTCACCGAAGCAAAAGAATATATAAAAATTACAAACAAAGGATACTGTACCCATTGGTGACCATAAAACGTCCAGTCAATTATCAACAGTACTTTACTGTAGAAAGCAGCTGTCAAAAAACAAGAAAGTCCAATGTCATTTCATTTTTCTGGTACTGTCTCTTTCTGTTCTTTTCAAACATTGCACTGTGCAGTACATCCACGTCTCCTTTAGGTAATATCAGTAAAACTGTAGCCACAAAACATAAAATGCAAAAAAAAATAAAACCCAAAACAGGACAGTTGGGTACATTCTTTAGCCGGGTTAGCTTTAGCCACAGTCTGTGTTGTACAATTGTTCGAAAATGTGCACTTTTCGAGGCACGGTTTATACATCCAAATGATTTGCATGGTTAAACGCTCCATAGCGACTGTTAACTACACAATTTTGTAGTTTCGTAATCCATCGAATTTGGCATACGCGAGCCGAAAGCCTGCAAGGAGGTCTCGATGCGGACCACGTCACTCGGAGTTAGTTTAAGTCTGTGCCGCAGAAGACACGCGAACAAGTCCAACCGCTGCTGCCCGGGCGGCGATAAGCGGTTTATCCGATCTCGTAACTCCAAAAGCTGAAGCATGGCGGTGTCTTGGGACCCTTGCGTGTACGGATAATCAAGCTGCAAAATCAAATCTCGAATCGCCTCCGGATCGAAGTTCATGCTGTAGCCGAAAACCTGTATGCTGTTGATTTTCATGTAACCCAAATTCCTCGTGGGCTCCGTGACTTCCACGGGCTCGTAGTACGCGCTATCGTTTCCTTGCGCGTTTTGAGTTTTAATCCGGCTCCGTAGGTAAATGTGGATGGTTTCGAAAAACGTCTTCCACTTGTTTCCCAGAGTCAAAGTCCAATTGAAGCACTCAAAAGGTAGGTCCAGTTTTGTCGCCTGCCAATCAGGAAATCCGTTCTCGTTAACAGGGATGTACCAGCTTTCTGAGTGGCTGCCTCCGAACGGGTTGATGTAGAGGGTGAGGGCGGGCTCCAGAGTGCTGTTCTTGGTCAGGCAGATCTGCAGCGAGATTCCCAGCAGCATGTGGACCATGTTGGATTTATACTTGTTGCTCTTCAGGGTGAGTAGCATACGTTTCCTCCACGAAGGGTCAAACCAGCTGTTGAGACGCATGTCGTTGCTGATAAAAATGGCATGGACCTGAAAGGGAAAACAAATGATTGTTTAAATGCAATTCATACAATGTTCAATCAGCATCTCCTTTTAATGTTTAATATTAAGACTAAGGGATCATTTATTTGTCCCACTGTGAGGAAATGCCAGTGTTGCAAGTTATAGAACAGTAGGAATGAGAAGCACACAGCCTTAGTGTACAATACTAAAAGAAAATCTCTCTCTTTAGCATAACAAAGAAGCAAGTAAAACATCTCCAACCTTAGCAAAATAACAAAGAAAGAATTAAGTCAAAAATCTCCAACTTTAGTAATATAATATATATATTTCATCATATATCTTTTATCACACACACGCCCATATGAGTAAACTGCAATTCTGTATAAACAGTGGTGGAAATACAGCAACAGCTGCATGGCTTGCGATGATCGTCCAAAGGGCAGATCATGATTAAAACAGTTTCCACTGCCCATTCTGATGGAGAAATACCATATTAAAATACTATCTGTATTAACACAAGGAAATTTGAGACTACATTTTGATAGCGTTACACATAATTTAGACACATTGTGCAAACAGTTGAACATAGATCTCCATCAGACAATGCCAAGCATTTCTGCACGGCTCAACGTATTAGTCCAGGTATAATGATTCATGTTCATTACCAACAACTGAGAGAAACCCGAACATTTTTGAATACATTAGTCTATTTGAGAAGAATGTCCAGTTTCAATTACTGAAACCCAAGCGTAATGATAATGACGATAATGATAAAATATTTAGTATTCATTTATCGGGTCAGGCTTTTTAGCAAGAAAGGAAATGTATTTTTATAGCACATCCCGCACACTTTGTCTTGTCATCCTGCTGTACTTTGTGTGAATGTAATATTTTAGGAGGCTTGTTCTGCTACATCTTTAGCCTTCCACCGGGGACCAGTGTAACCGGCGCCATCTGTGGCCACCCAGAGTGCTGCATACACCATCTCAGGAGGGCTGAGACAAATCTTCTCCACTTATGTAATGATTTAATTAGGCATTACACTGAATATAGAGAATAGAAGTGGGTGAGCTGTTGTGGCTGGCTATACCAATAGATGGAGTTTAATTCCAAAGATAGTTTGAGGCAAATAAGATGAACTTTATTGATCTCAAAATGGAGAAATTTGGCATAGAATCACTCAGGTTGTGCAAAAAGATCCAAGGTTACAAAGGGTCCAAACATACCTCCAAAAGCTTTCAAGGAATGTTTTCCATCCTCATAAATCCTGTGACGTTGTGATGAGTCTAAGCCCAGAGGCCTTTTTTCCCGAAAAAGCTATAATCTAAATTTACTAAGGTTTCATATAGTATTTAGCCAGATATGTGGCCAAACTTGGTACCAAATTACCTGGTGGACCTTGGGGATTGCTGTGGAAGTGAAAAAAGATGATAAATTGTATTGGTTGCCAATAAAATTAGGTTGAAACAGACAATTCTAACTTCCGCCTAAAAAAAAAACACATTTTCCCTCAAAAAAGCTTTTTCCCTGTCTGTGGTGTAGCAAATAAGAACTAAAATTGACAGTTCCCGATATTTTGGACCAGTCCAGCAAAAATTGTGCCAAATAAACAAACCACTGCAGAGTTGTACATGGAATTGGAAAAAAAGTCCAGGCGGAATCCAACTGTGCCAAAATTGTGCCAAATGGCACAAACATGTCTGTAGAGTCATCGAGATAAACTTTGGCACCCGGTTCCCTAGCAAGAAGCTCTACAACCTCCTCGCGTGTATAACGCTGTTTTTGCCATTTTTAATTTCGTCAAAATTCCGAGTACCTGCCGTGCGTAAAGGCTTTGCGCACAGCCTCCTTCTGCCCCAACTATACGCATGTACACAGCCTCCGCGGTACTTTGGCCAATCAGGGCATGTCATACCATTTTGGAAAGAACACACCTTCGGCTATCAAAAACCATTGAAAACGTATTGATGGACAGCACCTGTGGCCAATCACAGGAAGAGATACACAGAGGTACGTGACATGACGCACGGGTGCAGCCTATCACAAAGGGCCTCTTACAGAAGGAGGAAGTAACTGGTAACTGGTATCTGCCAGGTCGCTAGAAAGCCTCGCTATGAGGTTGAATACAAGAATAGGCTTAATTGTAAAAATAATCATTTAAGACCACATTACCCCAATTAAAATAAAGTTATCTCTTTTTGAGGTGAACCTTTTCTACATGTTTTCTAAAAAATAGGGAAAAATAAAATAGAAAGGGGATTATCCTATTGAGCAAACCCTGATGTTGAATACGCCTAAGAAATACGTTCCAACATCCATTCCTTTCCCACCCTAATCTTTGACATCAATTTCTTATTTATTTTGCATACACTAAGTATAATTACATTGCTATATTTTAGCGTCCGCCAAGCTATTTTCTCACGGACATCCTCTGATGTTCATATAATTACAGCATTATTCCCGCAGCATAAAACAAACATAGATATAGACAGAGCAGGGCTTGGTAACGACACACACACGAGCGTACGCGCAACACACACGCACACACATGCGCGCGCTACGGGAAGCAAAAGCAAATACTGTTTTTCAGTGCCGACTCTTTGTGTGTTTTTGGTGTTTTTGGCTATTGTGCAATAATATCGCTAAAAAAATTTAACCTTATCTACTGACTCATATAAGAAGATAACGTTATTAATCTCACACAAGACATTTACATGTCACCTTTGGCATGATAAAACACTCAAAATTGCAAAAAAATAAGAAATGAGAAAAACATTGTTAATGCAGGAAAATATAAAATTGCATGAACTGCAGTTGTTAATTGAAAATATCTTTCTATATTGAGAAAGAGAGTCCAGTGCCGATTTGGGGGGTGATTGGGGGGGCTCTGCGCCGGTCGGACAATTGGCTGCGCAACGGGGCACGCCCTCCAGAAAATTTTCACGGACGCCTCCCATATCCAGAGCAACTTTAAAATTATAACATGTTTAACGTTGTCCGGGCGAGACAAGACGGATCTAGCTGAACAACAAGGAAAGGAAGACAGTAAAACAATCGTAGAGATAAGGGTGCGAAAGAGAAAGGACCGTACAGAACAAGAGCTCATACCAAGCGCAAAAAAACGAGGTATTGGAAAGCTTTGCGGACATCAAAAACATCGACCCCTACTACTCCCTGCACTGGTGACAAACCCATGGTTTTTGCCCTAGTTTGTGCAGAATAGGTTTTCCTATTTCCTTAAATTAGTATATTGTTATGCCTGTGTGCCTATTTGCAGTGGTTTTGTTTGTACATATTCACTAATAACAGTATTATTTGTTTATTATTATTTATGTTATTAATTGATTTATTATGGTTGTGCATATTACATGCTGGAAACTAGTACTTTTGAATGCACACTTTTTGCAGTGTTTTGTGTCCCCTTGCAACTAAGAAAATATGACTCTTATGATCATTTTTGCCTAGGCTGTGCAAGTTTACATGCTGAACAGTACTTTGAATGCACACGTTTGTACAAAAAAAATATTCATTTCTCAATAAATATGTAAACCATATCCAAGTTTTCATGAATTTATTTAAAAATAAAAATACTGTAAAGAATAAGTACTCAAAACAACACTTTGCACATGTTCGTTAAGCACTAGCAAACTATGACAATCCTTAAGCCAAAGCATTTAGGTTTTCACCCTCTCATTTGACAAGCATGTGCCACAGGTACAGTTGAGTGTAAGAATTTGAAATTTTGTGCGCTCCCAACACCGATCACACCTCGATCCACGTGAATTCTGAATGTGCTATGCCCTAGTCACCTCCACATCTTCGCCTCAACTAGCACGACCCCTTTAATGTAGTATTTCACTTCACACACATCATCCCCACATTGCTCCTTATAAAAGCCTCTACTGCCAGCACAATGTCACCTGTAACAGCTGGTTCAGGAAACCACTTTGCTCTTATAATGCTTGTCGCTTTGCCACCACCCCACCCTTTCGATATGAAGGAAATTACACCCTGGGGCTGATCAACGATTAGGTATTTCATAGTGGTATGGGAGATTGTTTGTATTGAATAAATCTGTCCCGGCTAGTACATTGAAGGTTTCTCGATGACACCTGAAGCAAGTCCACAATGGCACCACATTGTTCCCAAATGACCTCCTCAAACAGTGTGGCATACTGTCATATAGCATTCCCTTCTTGCCAGTGCACCAATGACACAGCTGTGCGTACATCACACACCAAGGGTATGGTGAAAGCATCCTCTTGTTGTCCTATTACTCTAAAACAGATGGCTGAGGTGCTTGTAATTGGAGGATCACAGTCTGAGGCGCATTAAATCAATAGGAGCAAGCTGGAAATGGGTAGACGTTCTTCATTCTACTTGAGGCAGTTCTAGTTAAAGTAAGTAGAATTCTGAACAATGCAAATTTTGGGAAGGGCCCCGTGTAATACTTCACTGTTTATCCATCACCACTCAGAAAGTTCTCATTCATCCTGTACGTATCAAGCTCACGCTTCCAGCTGTCCTGTTTTCTTCAAGAAGATTGTTGATAAAACATCTCGTCTAGATGTGCAAGTCCACATTCCATGTCCGTCAGCTGGCGGCTTGTCTAGGCTGGCGGCGAGCGGCTCCTGCGGCTGGTCTAGGGCTGGTGCGGCGGCGCATCGCTGGGCTAGGGCTGTGCGGCGCGCTGCGGCGGTCTCTGGGCTGGTGGCGGCTGGCAGCTGTCCCAGGGCTGGTGGCGCTGCCCTGTCTAGGCTGGAGGCGCGGCGCCTGCGGCTGGTGTGGGCTGGAGGTGGCTGCCGCTCCAGTTGGCAGGACTCGCCTTATTGCCGCTGATACTCGCTTCATCTGTTTTTTGTACATCATTTGTGGCCTAACAACAGGATTTGTCCAGTCAGGGTGTTTCTCCAACATCTCATATGCTGGTTTACCTACACGAGAATATTAACAACATATAAGTTAATATAAAAATTTGCCCAATCTATGTAATCAATATGCTTTATACTGTCAACTATGTCATGAACAGACATTCCTCAGTACTTTTTAGGTCACCTTCATAAGTCTAGGAAGGTTTATTGTACAACAGAATATTTAGATTATGAGTACAATCTATGTAAACTAAGCTTCACTGGCAAAGAACTCGCCACAGAACACGTGCTAAGTAAAAACACCAAGGTAACAAAGACAAACAGAGACAAAGCACTACAGAAACCAAAATAACATAGCTAAACCTAACACACTTCCTAGCTTTAAGAGACAACAGACATAAATACATTTTTAAGTGAACGTAACCAGAGTGAAATGCAGAGACCAAAACTCTCCGTCGACAAGGGGTGTTGACGAAAGTAAGGTCCCTTTCTTCTAATGGCAGCCAACCAACAACTTTCCGACCTCCTTGTCAGTCAAAGAATTCTCCCCTTGATCTTTTTCCATTTCGGTACCTAAAAAACGGTTTATCCCGTTGTTACTGAGGTTTTCCATATCCACGAGGATGTCTTGTAGCAGTTTAACGCAAGCAGTTTATTTCCAAGCATGATAAACCTGGGGGGGGGGGCGGAATAGCAAGAACCTCCGCTACTACCGCGTTCACACACCTAAACAACTGTACTGCCGCCAACCGGTCGCAAGCAATATGTCGGCAAAAGGGGATGGGGAGGGACTCGGTGCCGTGACGTCAACTCCTCATTCTCAATATAGAAGCTATTTTCAAATTAAACAAACGCAGTTCATGCAATTTATATATTCCTGCATTAACATGTTTTCTCATTTCTTTATTTTTTCACAATTCTTGGAGTGTTTTATCCATCCAAATGTGACATTTATATGTCGCCTTGTGATTAATAAAGCTTATCTTCTTATTTGATCAGTCAATAAAGGTTAAATTATTTTAGATATGTATTGAACAATAGCACAAAACACCAAAAACAACAAAGATAGCAGCTGAAAACAGTCATTGGTTGCTTCCCCCATAAGCGCGCGCATGTGTGCGTGTGTGTGTGGCGCTTACGCTCGTGTGTGTGTCGTTACCGATCCCTGCTCTCTGTCCTATCTATAATGTTTTGTTTTATGCTGCGGGAAAATGCTGTAATACTGAACAACAGAGATTCCGTGAGAAAATAGCTTTGGCGACGCTAAAATAAAAGCAATGTAATTAGACATAATTTATGCAAAATATATAAAAATTGATGTCCAAAATAGGAGTGGGAAGAATGATGTTGGAACGTATTTCTCACGTATCTACATCATGAGGGTTTGCTCAAGAGGATATAACCTTACCATTTTATTTTATTCCCTATTTTTTAGACCAACATGATAAAAGTTCCACATCAAAAAGAGACTAACATTATTTTAATTGGGGTACATGTCTAAAATGATTATTTTACAATTAATCTATAATTCTGCACAAAAACGTCATACCATTCATCTTTACCGTTTTTAGAGCAATCTGTTCATAGACTTGATAACATGCAATAAATACCACAAGACATAACTCTGCGGGATCGAACCCCGGTTCCTACATTGTAAGCACACAGTTTTTATACCAGGGGTGCTCAATAAGTCGATCGCATCTACCAGTCGACTCACGCAAAGGTAGTATTGGTAATCCAATAATAAATGAAAAAATTACACATTCTAAATTTTGAAAACTCCGTTAATGCATTTGTGTGTATACCAGAATAATCGAGTTTTGCCCCGTTCTCGCACGCCACAAGACCCCCCAAATTCCTCTGATCACTGAAGGCATGGATCAAACAACCTTAAAAACTGTTCACTGTGAGATGCTCGGAGCGCGCACCGCCGCCACATCAGAGAGCACAAAGTGATCGCGGACTCACCTTGAAAACAACTAAACCGGGACTAAACCAGGACTAAACCAGGACTAACCAGACAAACCAGGACAACTACCAGTGCTGAGGACGGGGTCCAGTGCATGTAAACATACCGTCTTTACTCTGATGTCTCTCGGACAGTAAAAGTGCCGTTACGGCGTCTGCAAACATGTACAATAGCTCTGAATGTAATGAGTGAGTGAATGGATAGTGATGGTCAGAGGCTTGGATGCACCAGGTTGTTTCATTTCTGCCATTGCCAAATGATTTTTTTTAGTCCTTATGCTGTTCTTTTTTTAAATGTGAAATGTAAATATTTTGCCCATTAGGCATTGTGTTTTATGTTTTAATTGACCCCAGAGCCCCTCATTGCACTGTGTTACTCCATCGTGTGTGCTTTGCTTAGTTACTACTCAAACTGATTGCCCTTGGTGCCTGGTGGACTGATAAGGTCATCTAAATCTGAATAATGAACGCCTTCTCTTGTTTTTCCTCTGCAGATGAGTTCAAGTCCTTCTTTCAGCGGCTTCCTCAAACACACTTTCTGAACACGTCGTCTCTGCAGCAGCTGTGGTCCTCGGACGCTCAGTTCCAGGGTCGGTACGAGCAGCTCCAGAACAACATGAGGCTTCTGTCACGGCGCGCTCATAGAGTTATCTACAAACTGTTCGGCCTGAGCAAGAGATGCCACCGACAGCCCAAAGTGCACCTGCCCCGCCAACGGTAAGATCCAGCACCTGTGCACAAGTACAACCGTTTTTTTACATTTACATTACATTAATTTAAAACACAATGCAATTCAATGTTATTTCCATTTATCTTTGTACTGCTCTAAATCACAGCAGCAGTAATTTTAGAAGACTTTACAAAGTTGTTTATTCACCATGGCAGCAACAGATCAAAGAATCAAACACTGGAAATGCAATAAAAACGCATAGGAGGCATTGGTTAATAGGTATAAATGTCCTGGATCATCACTGCCCATAGACCAGGCAGGTCCAAACTCAGGCCCGCCCATTACGACCCTTTGTCTCATTTTATGTGGCCCCCTGCTACTAAAACCATTGTCCCCATTGAGGCACTTTGACAGTGTCATCCAACCAACTTCAGCTCCACCATATCGTCATGCTAAACCCTAAATCTCAGACCCTCTGACATTTGTTTATGATTGTGTCACAACGTTCCACATAAAATGCCGCTGTGGTGTCAAACAATAAGAAAGAAAGAAAAAACAGTTGGGAAAAATGTGAGAAACCTCTGGAAGACCCATATCATAAGAAGGATTCGCTCCCACAATGTAGCAGAGGTGTGGACTCGAGTCATGTGACTTGGACTCGAGTCAGACTCGAGTCATGATTTTGATGACTTTAGACTCGACTTGACCAAATATAAAAAGACTTGCAACTCGACTTGGACTTTAACATCAATGACTCTGACTTTCACTTGGACTTGCGCCAATTGACTTGTAAAGACTTGCGTAACCCGGGCCATTTTTACCTTTCTCCGCATCTCTCTTTCTATCTATGCCGTCTCTGAAGAAACAAAGCCTCGCGGTAGTTGTAGCGCTCGCGAGAGAGTTCGAACGTGAGTTCCCCTCAGTTCGCGCAGCAACACTTCCCTAAACAAGCAGACTGCATTCACCGGTGGGTGTGTTGTCGTAGGGGAGCTGGAAATGAGCGAGCTGCAGGTATTTATCGCGACCTAACGTCATACTTTGTTCTACAAACCGTAATTGATATGCTTTCACTACAGGCGCCTCATACAATTGAATCGACGCAGTTGTCACACTGTGTTGCCGTGTTTTAAAGAGGAACTGGTGAGTCAAACTAGCGCTAGCCTGCGCTGCTCTGTTGGCTCTTTCTTATATTTTTCTGTGTGGGCGCCGAGGCCTATTATGAGTATGTTTTTGCTGTGCTCCTCCTGCTAAAGTTTGCATACATTAGATAGTTGTTTTGATTATGTGCACTAAGCTAGATTAATATTTGCACTATTGTTTATGGTGCATTGATATGAGAATCAGTGCTTTGACTGATTGAATTAATTTATATGAGACATTTTATTATGTAATGATATATTGGTAATTATGAGATATTGCTAATGCTGGTCCAGTTGATGGCGAGCTGCCCCAGGTCCAAAGCCTAGACCCCTCATACTACCCCTATTCTACAGTAGGACATTTGGAACAATAACCACTACGGACATTAAACTGATTATATAGATACAGGTCCTAGCCCAATACTCATATTCATATATCATATGCTGCACTTGCTACTTCCCATTAAAAACCCCAAAGATAAAAAGTATGTTGACACGGACTGCTCTGATTTTATGTGTGGTCTGTGCATGTGTAACTGAGCCTGCATCTGGCACAACATCCAATTAGATCACGTAGATAGTAGTTTTGATTTATCAGCAGCCAACGACATGGAACAAACTGTTAGTCCATGGGTCAGAGACCAACGAGAATGCACCAGCAAAATGATTCCTAACATTATTTTGTTTGCCTACAAAAGTACGTGGAGACCAACAAGAAACAAATCGCGGTCAAAAAGACTCGAGAGGACTCGAAAGTCAAACCGTAGGACTTGGGACTGACTTGAGATTTGTTGACCTTTGACTTGGACTCGACTCGGGACTTGCCTGTCTTGACTCGTGACTTGACTCGGGACTTGAGGGCAATGAATTGAGACTGACTTGTGACTTGCTAAACAATGACTTTGTCCCACCTCTGCAATGTAGACCGATGACTGAGGCTGTAGAACCAGAGCTGAGGCTGTAGAACCTGGGCCCAGGCTGTAGATGCAGGACTAAATAAGCTCCCAGGCCAGATGTCGCACGTTTCATACTTATTTTACCCAAGCCATTAGACTTCATAACACCAACATGTGTGGGAAGCAGTAGCCGGGGGGGATTGAAATTGAGTGCACACTGTTTATTTTGTTTGTGCGTTCTACTCATGGCACTTAATGAGTATTTGTATTAATATCTATTTTATCTACTGTTGATGAATTACCTGATGGCAGTTTTATCAGCCGAGGAACTGAATTTCCTTTGGGATTAATGAGGACTTTCTATTCTATTCTTTTCATCACATCCACTACACTATGAGTTTAGAAGCATTTTCTGTTTTTCAATATCTTAAACACTTCATAATCAGATTTTTTTTAGAAAATGTAGTTGAAAGCACACGATTCAGAAACTGGGAGTGCTCACCCGGATTACACACTGCAGAACTGACAGACGTTCTTCCAGGTCCTCGAGGAAATGTTAACGGTGAAAGAGGAGAGGCAATCTGGTTAGTATTGAGGCTTCATTAACACCTTATTCCACAGAGGGGTACTTGAAAAAAAACATTCACATGATTTAATATAAAATTGATTAATGGAGAGGGATATTTGTTCTTGTCAACTTCTATCATTGGCATATTAGTCTGAGATTAGCTTTCTTCACCTTTGGTTCAGCCTGTGTTAAATCTACAACATTCTGCTAATAAAACCATCCATTTTTAATCCTCTCGATCAAAATGACTCAAAGATGCAGTCAGTGATTTTTTTCAGATGTATTTTTTTCAAATATGTGGGTAAACGCCCCTAAACCCTAAAAGTTGTCAAGTTATCATGTGTTTTCAAATAGTAATGGAATTGACCAGATGCCTATAGTTTCCAAAAAATAATAAAACATATTTTGGAGGGGGCCGATAAAAATGATCCAATGGGATTAGTTTATCCCCATCCAACCAATGGGATGCGTTTTCCCCCCCTTCACCTGTCCTAAACTGGCTGAACAGAAAATGCCAATTTCACGTTTGCCGCCCATTCTCCCTGTTGTGACAAAGAAAAGAAAATGCCGAATGTTTGGTTTGGTGGAGAGGCGAGGGGAGGGGGGGAGTGGCTAAGCTAACAAAATCACCAACTGTATATTTAATGTATAACGAGCAGCATTTGAAGGACGTGCCAAACTGACTAATTACTATAAAAATGTTGAAATGTCACACAAATCATTTACAACATTATTCTTCAGGGACAAAAAATATCTGCTTCTTTGAATAGATACAATCTGAAGATACGACAATGAACATATGGTGTATTTTTCTAAATATATGTGTATTGTTAGCAGATTGCGTGGTCCGAGAGTTTGTTGTGCCCAGTGTCTGGTGGAGGTGTGAAACGTTTCAACAGGAGGTCCAACAGATGCTCATGACTAATGCTCCATATTTGTGTTTATCTATGCTAATCTGTACTGTTCCAGCACATACTGTGGACATAATGCATCTCACTAGGGGCCTTGCAGCGAGCAGCCGGCTTCAGTCCCAGTGGAAAAAACAAGACAATTCATAACAGAAGATTACACTGTATTATCAAATATAGGGAATCTCCATTGGGCTGATATCGGATTATATAACATTCATATACTTGATATCAGATACAATGCCCCAATATATCACATGGTGAAATGAAGGATGACCCAAAAGCAGCAATGCACACATAATCATTTAATGAGGATGATAAAATAACAATAAGAGTTCCTTTATTCATCCGACCGTGGGGAAATTTCAGTGTTGCATCACAAGTTACAGAACAGTAGGAATGAGGAACACACACAAGATAAATGAACAAAATCTCTAACTCTAGCAGCAAAGTAGCCTGGCCTTAGCCATCCGTACACTCTGCTCAATCATCGATTCACTGCATGTAACGTCTGGGTCTGGTCCCTGTGTTAGTAAGTAAGTAAGTAGTAAGTAAGTAAGTTTTTATTTATATACCGCCTTTTCACTGCAGATCTGAGTCTCAAAGCGGTTTACAATTGTTAATTTTGGGCATTTGTCTCTCACTCCACACAGAGATGGGAGCGGGTTCGCCAGTACAGGAAGCGCATGCCAGAACTATTGGACATATTTTTAGTGGTAGGGGAAACCGGAGTACCCGGAGGAAACCTACGCAGACACGGGGAGAACATGCAAACTCCACTCAGAAAGGCCCTGGTCCGACCGGGATTCGAACCCAGGACCTTCTTGCTGAGAGGCGAGAGTGCTATCCACTCAGCCACCGTGCCGCCCACCGTGTTAGCGATTACAATCGGTTGAATTTCGACCGACCGTTCAGAGAGCGCGGAAGGCGGGTGTTGTAGTTAGTTGCAGGTGACGTCAAGAGTTTGCGTCGAACGGGAAGGTTGTACTTTGGTAATGGCGAAAAATGCGATAGTAAAGTAATCCAGTCTGGTTCTATCAAGAAATTGAAGCCGGAGCAAGAGGAATGTTTAGCAAATGTAATCACTGGAAAAATTGTGGCGCTACTCCCCACGGGCTCCATTAGTGGCAAAGGAGATTTCTAGGCTAAATGCTAAATGCTAACAACACACTCAGGCGCACTACACACGTCCCGGTAAACTCAGATCCAATCGGTTCAATCTGCAAAAGGAGTTAACCCTCCCACCTGTAAACGGAGCTCAGTGGAGCAAATCCAGACCTTAGTATGAAATGTAATTTGTACTGTGGTGTGGTACGACCAGGCTAGCAGCAAAGCAACAAGTATAACATCTCTATCTTTAACATAACAAATAAGTAACAGTCCAAGGCAAAACAAAACTCAAAATCCAAACGGAACCGAGAACATAGACAGGCATGAATAGAGCGTGGATATATTAAAATAACTGGATAGGGTATTACTAGCTTATAGCTGTTCCAACCAACGGCAAAGGGGGCACCCGCGGTACTGCAGACTAAA